CACGAGGGATGCCTGGGTGGCTCAGATGGTTAAGCATCTGCCTTCGGCTCAGGTCATAATCCTGGGGTCCTGGGATCGAGCCCTACATCGGGCTCCTTGGCCCTCGCTGCTCTCCCTCCTTATGCTCTCTCTCTCTCTGACAAATAAATAAATAAAATCTTAAAAAAAAAAAAGGCACGAAAACCAGAGTTGGAGTGCCAAAAAACAAACTACGATTTTGCAGTTTACAGTACCTAAAAGAATATTTTAGGGTAGTGAGGCTTAAATAAGAAAACAACCCTTAGTACTGCATGTGGAGCTTGGTAGCTACGCCCTTCAGCAGGCTGTGAGTGCAATCCAATAGTCCACCAGGCTGCAAAATTTAATCAACTGTTCCACTAGAATTTGTTTTCCTACTGTATTGACCAATGTCAAAAATTACAATATCAGACAACTGTTTTGACATAAGAGTTTTTCTGAAGCAGCTGCCTATGTTTTCAAAAAACTGCTTTAGTGAAAACTCTAAGGCCTGTCAGCAGCAAAAAACCCCCTAAAAAACAAAAAAACATGTTAATCTATTCAGGTATCCCTCACTTTCTGAAAGTTCACATAATGCCACTATGCTTTAACAAAAGACCTACATTAGCACCTGTTTTTGCTAACTGAAAAAAATGTGCAGAGGATTTCTGCTTTTATAAAAACAAAAGGCAAGAAGTGAAATAGTGTGCAACATCTGTTCTGTAGCAAATCCTTCCAGAGGCAGCGCACACCTCCAGTAGCGAGAGCAGTCCCGCCACACGGCGTCTCAGTGTCAAGCCACCACTGTCTGTGGACATCTGTGATTTATTTTGATTCATTCTGTGCATCCATTGGCAAGATGTGTCCTGAGATAGCAGAAAAGCCTAAGACAGGTTAGTTTTTGGGTCTAGGAATGCTCAAAAATTTTTCCAATATAAATTTATAATTGTTTGATGCCATTTTGGCTTATGAAAGGTTTTGCTCTTCTTCTGGAGAGTGGGGAAAACCTGTACATGTGCTTTGTATTTGTGCACATACATAGGACACACACATCACCATCTTGAATCTTATAAGTTTATGAACTTACCAATTTTAAGTCTCCACAGCTGTTGGCAATACAGCTTTCTTCTACCAATTCATTTACTTTCTTCTCTAATTGTCTAATCTTTTCTTCTGCACTATTAAAGAAAAAGCAGGTGTACTCTGACTCATTCAAGCACTAATAATACATACTAAAATTTAATTTACCTGTAACATTGTCCATTATGTGCTTTTGTAAGAATAGGTTACAGATAAGACAAAAATATAAATGGCATTAAAGAGTAAATGCACTACTGTTTTTAATAATTATAGAATTAATAATAACAGTAAAAATAACATTTTTGGTTAATAAAAGTAAACATTTACTTGGCACAAGTGTAATCTAACACTGAGCCAAATGCTTCACCCTAATTATGTCATTTAATCCTCCCAGTAACATCTGATATAAGTCCTACCATTATTATCATTTTACTGATAGGGAAATTGAGGTTTAGAAAGTTAATTATTAACCCACGATCCCATAGCTAGTTAAGTAATAGAGCCAGGATTTAAACCTAAGTAAGGTAATTCAAGGACCCATGCTATTACATTATCATCCCCAAAAGAAAGTAGATCCTTTCTTCAGAGCCTATGACAAATGAAAACTTTACTTTATGGTGAAGAAAACTGAAGCCCCCATAGAAGAGATAAAAATTATTATTACTTACTACCAGCTGGGTACTCTAGAGAATATTTCCAACGGTGTGAAGAAGTTAAAAAAAATCCTGATTCCATTAGTAGCAAACATAGTACTCCCAAATCAGTCACATTTTAAAATAACATTAATGTCATTTTGCTACCACTTTCTTCCACCAAATATCACAATACTCTGAATGTACATTAGTGCTTAAATAAAATTTTACTAGGAATATTTCAGAATAGGGGTGCCTGGGTGGTTCAGTCATTAGGCATCTGCCTTCGGCTCAGGTCATGATACCAGGGTCCTGGGATTGAGCCCCACATCGGGCTCCCTGCTTGGCGGGAGGCCTGCTTCTCCCTCTCCCACTCCCCCTGCTTGTGTTCCTGCTCTCGCTATCTCTCTCTCTCTCTCTCTGTCAAATAAATAAATAAATAAAATCTTTAAAAAAAAAAAAAAGGAATATTTCAGAATACACAGTTCTCTTCTCTACAAATGGACTATTAAAAAATACAGGAATAAATTTAATAATATAGCTTTGTCTAAAGAATCATATTTTTTGGTAGAATCTGACTAAAATTTAGTCAGGTGGGATACAAATTAGTTTCCTAAAGATTTGCAAAATTCTAACTGAGCAATGACCATAATAAATGCCATTTTATAAAGGTTACAATAAAGTACAGAATTCTATTTTATAGTCCAAAACACTCTAATAAATGTCTTCAAATATTGCTTACAATTATTAAACCTAAATAAAATATGAATATGAAATTTTAAAGTTATAAATGTTATGAAGACAATAAAAGTAATTACCCTGTCCCTATCAAATGCCAGGAAAATGAACTCTATATGCAGACACTGTTGGACACCTACCCACACAAGAACCTGCCACCATCCTTCCTCCTTGCATACAGATCTAAGCTAGTCAAGAGTCTCATTCTCTTGCCAAATGTTTGGTTCAGTCATGCACATGTGATGCACTTCTGGCCAGTGAGAAGTGAAGACAGGTTTGCTTGGGGTAGAGGGTTCCTGGGAAGATTTTCTTTGCTTTTTGAAAGGGACTCAAGACTGGGAAACTTCTGGCTCTAGGCTTTATTAACTACATGGAGATTTTTTTTGTTTTTTTTTTTAAGATTTTATTTATTTATTTGACAGAGAGAGAGAAAGCGAGAGAGGGAACACAAGCAGGAGGAGTGGGAGCGGGAGAAGCAGGCTTCTCATGGAGCAGGGAGCCCGATGCCGGGCTCAATCCCAGGACTCCAGGATCATCACCTGAGCCAAAGGCAGACGCTTAACGAATGAGCCACCCAGGCGCCCCTACATGGAGATTTTGAACTCTCAAGGCTCTTTTGGCATGATAGGATGGCAGGCTCTTAAGAAAGGCCAAGGGAATCAGAGAGAAGCTGAATCAGGGATGATGTTATTGAGCAGTTAAATTAACCATCCCTAGAAGTGCCCTGCCTCCAGACTTCCTATTAAATAAGATAATAAGGATTCTTATTGTGTGTGTGTTTCCCTCATGTATCTTCTGTTGGCAGCTGAAAGGATTCTAAATGACCTGGTATTTAAATAAAGTAACCTACTTTTATTAGCAAACATGCTGTCATTAACTAGGACACAAAGTGAACAGATTTTCTATAGAGATTCCTTGTTAGTGAGAAAGAGAAATTATGTAATTTATACAATAGCCCAAATAGTGGGTTTAAGAACTACAATTTAAAAATCTCTATTATACAGAAGAAAAATAGTATTTAATAACATGAGGCTCTGGAAACAGCTTGGGTTCAAATCTCAGTCCTGCCATTTATTAGTGTTACCAAGTGAAAACTGTTGTGTTTACTTTCTCCCTCAATGAACTAATGATAAAAACAGCTCAGTCTTCATTTACATATAGCACTTGCACAGCAGGACACAGTGAATACTCAATAAATGCTGGCTTATGTTACTACTTGTAAAATCTTTATGTCAATAGTACTTATAAGGGGCGCCCGGGTGGCTCAGTCGGTTAAGCGACTGCCTTCGGCTCAGGTCATGATCCTGGAGTCCCGGGATCGAGTCCCGCATCGGGCTCTCTGCTCAGCAGGGAGTCTGCTTCTCCCTCTGACCCTCCTCCTTCTCGTGCTCTCTGTCTCTCATTCTCTCTTGCAAATAAATAAATAAAATCTTTAAAAAAAAAAAATAGTACTTATAAGGATCCCAGTAAGTACATACACCTGACTTTGTATCACAGCTTCTGGCTACTCTTCAGCCACTAGCACAAAACTAATTCTCTAAAAAATTAAATTTCTCAATATTGATATGACTAACTTCCTATATGTTCTCTTAATTTTTTCACTGAAATATTCTTTTAAAATGAGCATATCCTATTCCATTTTCAACTCCATTTGGTCTCCAAGAGAATCAATATTGGCATCCATAAACATTAGACATATCTTCACATCAAGTAATATTACAATAAAACTGCATAGAACACACATGGCTGTTTTTCTTAGACTTGATTCTTTTGCCTGTTCCAAGAACCAGGGATGAAGTTTTGATTACTATTCTGCTAACATGAACTTTTGTTTTTGAGGATACATGATTAATTAATTTTTTAAAAAACTATTTCTTTTAATCACCCAGTGCTCATCATGACAAGTACACCCCTTAATCCCCATCACCTACCCCCTCATCCCCCACCCACTTCTGCTCTGGTAACCATCAGTTTGTTTTCTATAATTAAGACTCTCTTTCTTGGTTTGTCTCTTTTTTTTTTCCCCCTTGGCTCATTTGTTTCTTAAATTTCACATATGAGTGAAATCATCTGGTATTTGTCTTTCTCTGACTTATTTCACTTAGCATGATACTCTCTATCTCCATCCATGTCCTTGCAAATGGCAAGATTTCATTCCTTTTTATGGCTGAATAATATTCCATCATACATATTTGCCACATCTTCTTTGATCTATGAACACCTATGCTGCCTTCATAATTTGCCTATTATAAATAATGCTACTATAAACAGAGGGGTGCATGTACCCCTTTTAATTCATGTTTTTGTATTCCTTGGGTAAATACCTAGTGGTGCTATTGCTGGACTATACAGTTCTATTTTTAACTTTTTGTGGAAGCTCCATACCATTTTCCACAGTGGCTGCACCAGTTTCAATTCTAACCAACAGTGCCTGAGAGTTCCCCTTTTTCCACATCCTAGCCAGTACCTGTTGATTCTTGTGTTGTTGACTTTAGCCATTCTGACAGGTGTGAGGGGATAGCTCACTACAGTTTTGATTTGCATTTCCCTGATAGTAAATGGGGATGATGATGAGCATCTTTTCATGTGTCCGTTGGCTATCTGGATGTCTTCTTTGGAGAAATCTCTGCTCATGTCTTCTGCCCATTTTTTAATTGGATTTGTTATTTGGGTGTTGAGTTTTATAAGTTCTTTATATATATTGGATACTAACCTTTAACTGGATAGGTAATTTGCAAATATCTTCTCCCCATCCATAGGTTGCTTTTTAGTTTTAGTGGTTGTTTCCTTCACTATGCAGAAGATTTTTATTTTGATGTAGTCCAATATTTTATCTCTGGTTTTATTTCCCTTGCCTCAGGAGACATATCTAGAAAAATGTTGCTATAGCTGATGTCAGAGAAACTACTGCCTGTGCTCTTTTCTAGGACTTTTATGGTTTCAGGTCTCACATTTAGGTCCTCAATCCATTTTGAGTATATTTTTGTGTATGGTGTAAGAAAGTGCCCCAATTTCATTCTTCTGCATGTGGCTGTTCAGTTTTCTCAACACCATTTGTTGAAGAGACTGTCTTTTTCCCATCAGATATTCTTTCCTATGTTGTCCAAGAATAACTGACCATATAATTGTAGTTTATTTCTGGATATTCTATTCTGTTCCATTGAACTTTGTGTCTATTTTTATGCCAGTACCATACTGTTTTGCTTACTACAGCTCTGTAACATAACCTGAAGTCTGGAATTGTGATGCCTCCACCTTTGCTTTTCTTTTCTAAGATTGCTTTGGGTATTTGGGGTCTTTTGTGCTTCCATACAAATTTTAGGATTGTTTGCGCTAGGTCTGTGAAAAAGGCTATTGGTATTCTGATAGGGATTGCTTTAAATGTGTAGATTGCTTTGGGTAATATAGACATTTTAACAATATTTGTTCTTCCAATCCATGAGCATTTCTTTCTGTTGTCTTCAATTTCTTTCATTGGTATTTTATAGTTCTGAGTAAAGGTCTTTACCTCCTTGGTTAGGTTTATTCCTAGATACCATATTATATTTGCTGCAACTATATCTGGAATTCTTAATTTCTCTTTTTTCTGCTTAATTCTGGCAAATAAAAATGCAACAGATTTCTATAGTTTGATTTTGTATCCTGCAACTTTCCTGAAGTTGTTTATCAGTTCTAGAAGTTTTTTGGCAAAGTCTTCCAGATTTTCTACATATAGTATCATGTTATCTGCAAATATTGAAAGTTTGAATTCCTTGCCAATTTGGATACCTTTTATATCTTTTTGTTGCCTGATTCCTGTGGCTAGGACTTCCAGTACTATGTTCACTAAAAGTGGTGAGAGTGGACATCCCTGTCTTGTTCCTGACCTTTAGGGGAAAAGGTTGGTTTTTCCCCATTTAGGATGGTATTAGTTGGGGGTGTCTCATATATGGCCTTTATGATGTTGAGTATGTTGCCTCTAAACTTCTTTGTTGGCTTTTATCATGAATGGATGTTGTACTTTGTCAAATGCTTTTACTGCATCTACTAAAATGATCCTATAGTTATCTTTTCTCTTACTGATGTGATGTACCAGATTGACAGATTTGCCGAATACTGAACCACCCTTGGAACCCAGGAATAATTCCCACATGATCATGGTGAACAATTTTTTTAATGTATTGTTGGATCCTGTTTCCTAGTATTTTGTTGAGGATTTTAGTATCTATGTTTATCAGAGATAATGGGCTGTAGTTCTCTATTTCTGGTGTCTTTATCTGGTTTTGGTATCAGGGTAATGCTGGCCTCACAGAATGAACTGGAAGTAATCCTTCCTTTTTAAGTTTATTTAAATAGTTTGAGAAGAATAGGTATTAACTTTTCTTTAAATGTTTGGTAGAATTTGCCTGTGAAGCCATCAGGTCCTGGGCTTGAAAAGAATGTGTATTCTGCTGTTTTAGGATGGAATGTTCTAAATATATCTGTTAAATCCATCTGTTCTAGCGTGTCATGAAAAGCTATTGTTTCCTTATTGATTTTCTGTTTAGATGATCTGTCCATTAATGTAAGTGGGTGTTACAGTCCCCTACTGTTATTGTATTATTATCAATTCGTTCCTTTATGTTTGTTATTGTTTTATGTATTTGGGTGACCCCATGTTGGGTGCAGAAATATTTATAATTGTTATATCCTCTTGTTGGATTGTCCTCTTTATTATTATATAGTGTCCTCCTTTGTGTCTTGTTACAGTCTTTGTTTTAAAATCTAGTTTGTCTAATATAAGTGTTGCTACTCTGGATTTCTTTTGACATCCCTTTGTATAATAAATATTTCTCTGTCCCCTCACTTTCAATCTGCAGGTGGCTTTAGGTCTAAAATAAGTCTCTCATAGGCAGCATATAGATGGGCCATGTTTTTTAATCCATTTTGTTACCCTATGTCTTTTGATTGGAATGTTTAGTCCATTTACATTAAAAGTAATTATTGATAGATATGTATTTATTTCTATTCTATTAGCTGTTTTGTGGTTGTTTCTGAAGATTTTTCTCTGATCCTTTTTTTTGTCTTTCCTGTTTTATGGTTTGCTGGTTTTCTTTAGTGATATATTTGGATTTCTTTCTCTTTATTCTTTCCATATTTATTAGTTTTTGATTTGTGGTTACCATTAGGTTGGAAAATAGCATCTTCAGCATATAGCCATCTATATTAAAGATGTTGATGTCGTTTTGAGTTTGAACCCATTCTTCACTCCTGTTCTCCGCACACTTTAGATGTCATATTTTACATCCTTTTATTTTGAGTTCCTTGACTGATTTTTTTTATAAAATACTCATTTTTACTGCTTTTGTGTTTCCTACTTTCTTACTGTCACTTTTGGTCTTTCCTTTCCACTCAAAGAATCCCCTTTAACATTTCTGAGTTCCCTAAGTCTGTTCTCGTTTTGCATAATTCTTTTTTTCTCCCTTTTGTTCAGCTTGATTACTCTCCACTTCTCTGTCTTCTAGGTCATTAATTTGTTCTTCTGCTTCTTCCAGCCTGTTGTTCCTTCCACCATGCATGTTTCTCATTATTTCATTTATTGTACTTTTACCTCTGCTATGTTATACCTTATATCTGTATTAAGGGTCTCATTCATGTCTTTCACTCTTTCCTCAAGTCCAGTGAACATCTTTATGATCACTACTTTAAATTCTCTATCAGGCCTGTTACTTATATCTGTTTTGCTTAGATCTCCTGCCGTGGCCTTGTCCTCTGTTCTTTCATTCTCTTCTCATTCAGTCTAAGTCTCTGTGCTTGTTTCTCTGTGTTAGGAAAGTCAGCTGTGTCTCCTGTTCTTGAGGGTAGTGGCCTTATATAGAAGAGGTCCTGTAGTGCCCTGCTGTGTAGCGTCCCTGTGCCCCAGGGCCTCGCACTTCCAGGAGTGTCTCCTGTGTGCACTATGGGCGCTTGCTGCTGTGTCCTGGCTGCTTTATCCTTCAGGCCAGTCATCTGCAGAGGCTCTCTTTGCCTGCTGTGGACAGTTTTTGGTCCCTGGTCTGAATGTGGCAAATTTTAATGAGGTGTGCCCCGACCTGTTTGTGAAATAAGACCTGTCACCACTGCCACTGGAACTGAGAGTCTGCAAAATTCCCTCTTGGGGAGGCGCAGTGTTGGTAGAGGTTGGGGCTGGTCTTCTGGGGGAAGGGGTGTGTAGTACTGGGCCTTAGGCAATCCTGACTGCAAAGTGCGTTTTCACTGGAGTATGGAGGATGGGGCTTGGTGTAAGCAAGTTAGATAGCAAATGTCTGCACTGTGCTGGTTCCTACAGGTGGTGCTATGCTTACGCTGAAGGGCAAGGGAGGGAAATGGCAACAGCCAATTTACTTGTTCTTGGCAGGGTCTCTCCATGAACACTCGCTCTGGGACGCCCTCTGACTTGAGCAAATAACCTCCCCACTGTGTGCCCCAGGCACTCTTCACATCACGGTTTCCATGCCTTGCGTCCACAGGTTGTTTATCTGCCTTCTCTCCAAGAGTAGTGCAATGCCCTCCAGGCTCTATCCTGGCCACACCTGCTAATCTTTAAAACTCCAGGCTTTAAATCCCACTGCTTACCAGAATCCATGGAATTTGGCCCATTTAGCTTTCCAAGCCAATTTCTATGGGAATTGGTTTTCCTTGTGTTCTCTCCTGTTAGTCTGTCTCTCACCCTTCCCCACCACCGCAGCTCCTTCCCACTGCTGCAGCCATGTTTCTGCCTAAACCCTGTCTCTGCACTTCCTACTTTCTTCAGTGTGTCCTCTTCTCTACCTTTAGTTGTGGAGTTTGTTCTGGCAGTGTTCAGATTGATTTCTGGAGTATTTAGGATGATATGAAAGTTATCTAGTTGTATTTGGGGATGAGGTGAGTCTCATGAGGTGGGAGTAGGGTCCTACTCTGCCATCTTCCCCTCCCTGTTTTGTTTCTTAAATTTCACGTGTGAGTGAAATCATATGGCATTTGTCTTTCTCTGACTGACTTATTTCACTTAGTAGTATACTCTCTAGTTCCTTTCTTGTCATTGCAAACGACAAGATTTCACTCTTTTTAATGGCTGAATAATATTCCATCACACACACACAAATAAATATATATACCACATCTTCTTTATCCATTCATTAATTGATGGACACTTGGGCTGCTTCCATATCTTGGCTATTATAAATAATGCTGCTATAAACATAGGGGTACTGCTGACATGAACTTTTAAAATACCTGAGAATTATGTATTTGGGAAATAAAAATTAAAAATATACAACAACACTAAAACAACATGAGAACTTACATACCTATCTTCATTTTTGGCTTCCAAAGGAGGAGCAGGGCCCCTTGACTGACCAAGGGGGTCAAATGCAGAGCCTAAGACACAATTCAAGAGTTCATATTGAATTTGTGATACAGGATAATTAAAGAAAATATAAAAACTTGCACAAGTTATTTAATTTACCTATTTATTAAATGGTTTAAATTACCTATTTATTAAATGGCCAGAACATTGTTTATATAAACATTTTATATATCAAGAAATTGGTAAGATTTTAACATACATCAAATTATATAAATAAAATGTGAAATTAAAAATGAGTACTCTCGGGGCGCCCGGGTGGCTCAGTCGTTTAAGCATCTGCCTTCGGCTCAGGTCATGATCCCAGAGTCCTGGGATCAAGCCCCACATCGGGCTCCCTGTTCTGTAGGAAGCCTGCTTCTCCCTCTCCCACTCCCCCTGCTTGTGTTCCCTCTCTCGCTGTCTCTGTCAAATAAATAAATAAAATCTTAAAAAAAAAAAAA